TTGGTAGATACTCGATACTACACTCATTGAGGTTTGGTTTTTTGGGATATTTCAGTCGCCATTAAAGAGGCTTGCGCTGAAACAATGCCTAAGGAAACAAACCAGTAATATTGAGCTCCTTAGAATCCGGTTACTATGACTAGGACAGGTTTGAGCCAACTAAACTTTAAGAGGGTACTTACCTATGAGACTCCATGCAAGCCTAAAACTAAGGACCTGTTTGCTTTGTTTGTGTATATATACTTGTACATAATATCATAAACATCATAACATCATACTCACATTCACTAACCATTTCATGGATCTTTGGATTTATCTTTGTTCTGTTTTGTAGGACATGGATTCTATTCGCAGGAAAACTATTCAAGTCAATATTGTAAGAATCTCTCCTCAACTTAAAGAGTTAGCATCAAGGATTCCTAAAAACTCTCCATTTACCGAAAGACATGGTCGCCTAATATCCTCTTACTTGGCATTAGGGGAGGTATCACCTATAACTCCTACTTAGCTTTAAGACAATTTGGTTATGCCCGAAGGGATGGTCCACATGAGATGCTGATTCAAGAGTTAGTATTTGACTACGAGATTGACAATCAAGGTCATCGCCAGAGGTTTATCTGAGCCTGGAGGATGTTAAACAAGGTAGATAACAAGACATTGGGACACAATAATTCTATCTTTATTGGTAGTCCTAAATATTTTTCAATTCATGACACCTGCGGCCTCCTCCACAACCAATATTGATGGATATTAACACTAATTAATGAATTCTTGTAAAAATTCACTTTCAGCCCGGACACCAACTCAAATAGATGTAAATTCGCCTTGATTGCCAATATATTCTTCAAGCTTCTCTTACCTAATAGAATTGTATCATTAGCATTGTATATGTGACACCTTCACACTTCCGTTGTTTCAACCAATGTACAATATTTTACACAAATCCAATCAACATCTTGAAAACAAACATCAGTCGTAAAGACACTCACTCACTTAATAATCACAAAATCAAACGATTTTAAACTCTAAAGAACAATGTTGATTTTTTAAATTTCTCTTTCACATAACTACCCAAATTAAACGTCACAAAATAAATGTTACATTTAGATAAAAATTTGTCCCAAAATACTTATCATTTTATATTACTAATGTAATTTTACATTTAATCTTTCAATTGTATTCTTTAATAAATACTCTTAATTTATTACTTTTTCACTTAACATTAATGCTAATTTAAATAGATAAATAGTTAATCAGGATAATTTGGTAAAATTATTATTCTCTCTTTCATTTATTACTGTTTCTTAATATGTGTGAAATAACCAAATACGATAAATAATATGGAACGGAGGATGACAATGGGTATTCATGGGCACGGGTACTAGTCTCCTGCTACCCATCCCGTTTAATAAATATGATACATGTATCCGCCCCATATATGTGCGGATATTTGTTAGATGGATATCCGTGGATTTTGAAATACCCGCGGGTATATACGGATATCCATAGATACTATTATTTAAATATATATATTTTAAAATATATTTAAAAACCTAATTTTTTATCTCTTTTAAAGACAAAAAAAATATTTTCAAATTTAACACATAATAAATATTTACAAAAATAAATCAAATTTATTTTATTTATTCGCTTATCAAAATAATTATAATAATAGTCATAATAATATCATACTTAACAAAATAATAATAATAATAATAATAATAATAATAATAATAATAATAATAATAATAATAATAATAATAATAATAATAATAATATTTTTTTATCAAACAAATTAATATATAAATATTTTTTTAATTATTAATGTATACGGATACCTGCGGATACGGATACCATCAAATCCATATATATATCCGTAAATAAACAGATAATCAAATATCCGTTTATTTTACCTGTAAATATCCATGAAGTCATCATACCCGTACCCGTGACAGATTTTACCCGCAAATATCCACTGATACATATTTTTTTGCCATCACTCAGAGAGTAATTAAGAAGAATTATTGAATATTTTTATCTTTTAAAATTCTACTTATTTAAAAAAGTTGAAATAAAAGGAATAATAAAATAGGAAAAAATGAAAGTTTTTCTTTATTTATCTTTTAATAGAATTAAAAAGAATCTAAAGAAAAAAAAGACAAAAAAAAGAATAAAATAAGAATAAATCCAATTGAATCTATTTTGAATTTGTTGTATTATTTTTATATGTATTACAAATAATAAAGAAATCATACTCATAATTTGATCATTAACAAATTACATATTTTTTTAATTTCAAAATATTTTTTTATAAACCAATTAACTTAAATAGATTATACTAAATGAATGCTTTAAATAAATAATTTAAAATTGTTTTTAATTTAAAATATAATACTTGAGAAAAAAATCTGTTAATTAAAAAATATTTCGATGTGTATCAACAAATTCGTGAAATGAGAGATCAAGAAACGGATAGGAAAGAAAATGGCCTTTCCATTAATGGTGGACTATCCCTTGAATTGAACTGGTCACGGAGCTCTCCATTAAGTTGTTTAGGTTCTGGAATTCCATATCTAATTGGGGGTTTCAGTTTGAATGTTAAATTGAGATGTAAATGTGAAAAAAAGTGACAGACATAAATACGATAAAAATAAATTATTAATAAATTATTTCAATGTGTATCACTAATTGAAATGTAAATATGAAAAAAAGTGACATTGATATAAATACGATAAAAATAAATTATTAATAAATCAGTTAATAATAATTTTACGGATAATATGTATCACGAATTGTAATTTATATAATTTAAAATATTATTACATTAATATGTGTTATTAACGAAAACACAACTAAAATATATTTGATTAATTTTTAAGGGTATTGTTTGTTTGAGGGATTAAAATTACAATCTTAGGAATCTCATTCTTACGAATATAATGCTTGAAACTTCATTCTCTTTCATTTGTTTGGTAAGTTATTAAGGTTTTTAGAAATATTTTTAAATTTTATTTTATTTATAATTTTAAAATTTTAAAATATAAAAAAATATGTTAAAATAATATAGAAGTACGTAGTTATAGGTGATTATTTTTTATTCCTATGAGAATATAAGATTCCCACCTTTGTTACGGGAATAAACATTTAAACTTTCATGAATAAATGATATTCCTTGAAATAAAAAGTTTTTGGAAATAATTTATGAAAACTTGAAACAAACACTAGAATATAGGATTCCTGACCTCACATTCCTATGAATATAATTCGTATTCATGAAACAAATACCCCCTAAAGTTTTGTTTTGTAAAAATAGCGATTGATTGATAAACTAATTTATATTTTATATTTTATTATTGATGACTAATGATCGATAATTTATAGCTTATAACTGATGTTTGATGATTTATAACTGATAAATCAATTAAAATATTTGATACAATGATCGATTCAATTAATTGATAAATTAAAATGACATAAAAAATATTTAATATATAATTATTTTATTTTAAATTTAAATAAATAAAAAAGGATAGAAATGAATTTCAGTTAAATTAATAAAGACAAAAAAATAAAAGAAAAAATGATAAATTATAAATTATAAGTTAAAATATTGTTTAAAATATTGTTTAGAAAATAAATAATAAACTAATAAAATAAATCATAAACTTGTGATAAAAAGATTATTATCAAACATGTATTTTATTGTAATATAAATTTATAAGATAAACTCAAAAAATATCCTACTAAACATAAGATAAATTAATTTAAAAATAAAATATTTTTCTAAATAAGGTAATAAATTAGAATCAACTTTATTTTCTCCTCAAAACTATATAAAATGGGAAAACATAAGGGAGCTTATAATAAAAGAGTGAATATATATTTAAATTATCGACTTTTTTTCTAAAGTATTTGAAAAAGATAAGAAAACTTATAATAAGAGAGTGAATATATATTTTAAAATTATTTTTGTTATTATAAATTAATTGTCTTATTTGTAAAAAAAAATTAAAATTTGATAGTTGCCATATTATAATAAAAAAAATTTAAAAATATTGTTTTCTCCTTTTATGAAAAATATATGAAATGGAAAAAATGAAACTAGTAATTTAAATATTAAAAATTGAAAATTCATCTATCATTTTTTAAAAATATGAATAAAGATTATGGGAAAATTAATACATATTTTAAATTTTGTATTTTCTATTATAAAATAATTTCCTTATTAGTAAAAGACTAAAATAATAATTTATTTAATCCATCACTAAGTAATTTTTTTAATTGTTCTATTCATTTGTATTACATAAATTTCATTCAATATTTTTTTATTATGTATTGAATATTTTTAAGATTTGGTTCAAGTTTTATTACCAAATTAGGAAAAGTATAATTAAATTTTATATTTATAGTGAGTCAAAATAAATAAACTTTATTTATTTTTAATTATATGAAATAGAAGGAAAAAAAAAGAAATAATTGATTTAAATATTAAAAAATAAAAATTTATTGATAGTTTTTTTTTTTGTAAAATATGTCGCGTACGAAAGTGTTCGTGTAAAAATATGAATATTTTATTAATTTTGAAAAAATAGAAAATATGAGTGACATTTGTGATATAAAGTTAATATAACATGTTATATTTCATTTTCTCTCACCCACTTTTACATTTCCAAAGGCAGACAGAAAGTTAATATTTAATTCTATAAAAGTGACATTTATGGTATACAAGGTACATATTTTAATTCTATAAAAAAAAGGTAGAAAGTACAAACACCACACTTTGGCAATGAAAGTGGCTAGGGAACTCTTCTCCTATAAACATATGTAAAGAAATACAATAGTTGTAATGTATTTTTTATATACAAAAATCATCTTTAGTTAGCCACCATATCGGCAAGTGAATATAAAAGGCCATCTACAACTAGCACAAACTCATAGACACAAACGCTGAGAAACTAGCAAATAACTTAGAGAAGAAAAGCACGTTTGAGAAACAAATTATGGGAGAGTGGTGGTGGTGTTTATTAGTCATAACGGTGTCTCTAGCCACCGTTCATGGTGGCAATGTTACTTACGACAGAACATCGTTAATCATTGATGGAGAGCATCAAATCCTCTTCTCCGGTTCAATTCACTATCCTCGTAGTACTCCTCAGGTACGTTCAAGTTCAATAATGCATGTTTCGTTTTGTATTATTAATATGTAATATTATATTTTCTTAACAGCAATAAAAAATTGTATAAAGATTAAATATTCATATGAGAATTCATGAGATGGTAAGGGTTCTTTCAGTTTAATCATAAGTTTTGGAACCATTTATAGCCGCTATGTCAATTTTATTATAAAAAAATTGTGTTTTGTAATTCTCTCTAATTTAAATGATTAATTTATACAGTTGCACGTAAAATATTTAATTTATAATAAAAATTTATATAAGAAGCAATATGCATATATGTTTTTTAAGGGCTAAGAATAAAGAGAGATAAAGACGAGGGAGGGAATCATTTTATTCTTATTGTCTTTATTAGGTAAGAAATATATTTTGTACTCAATTTGATATTATTTATAGAAAAAGAAAAGAAAATCAAACCTATTATACATATTAAGTGGATCGCTATTAAATTATACTAAGGCCTAAATCTGACACAAGTTGTTATGTCATGTGTATGTTTCACATGGTGAGAGGTCCTTGAGAAGAAAAAAATTATTTTGTTTGACCATTATTTGATTATGATCTTTTTTTTCTTTATGAAATTGTAAGCTTTTAATTAAATTATATTAATAGGTCCCCATTCCCTCCAATTTTCAGTAATATATATTTGATGTTTGACTTGATTGATCATGTTAGTGTGAACCATTAATTAGGATCAATTAATTGAGTTTTATTTTGTCAGTGAATGTAGGTTGTCCTCTAATATTATTTAATTGTTTTGTTTAGTGACCTTGCCGTCTTGGCAAAATTAAGGATTAAAAAAGAAAAATAATTATAATTATCGTGGTCATTTTTTAAACTATATGTACCGAAATAAATCTTTTGAAAATGATGTTTTACATAAATTGTATAAATTAATTTGTTTTCATTTTAAAATTAAATTCTTCTATGTGCCTACCTACTGATTAAATCTTTGACGTCTTACCTAATATGTGAATTTGGGTTTGTTACTCATGCCAACTAAATTATTATTATGCAGAAATAAGAACATTATTTTATATTTCTCTTTATATTTTACATTTTATTAATATATTTTGTTTTAATATACATTGAAATAATTTCATTTACAATAATTTGATGATATAGTTCTCTAATGCTGTCCAAGCATATCCATAATCATAATTTTGATATTATTAAAAAATTACTCAATGATTGAAACTTTCATTTTCAAAAATATTTATACTTTAAAAAAAAAAAATTGTTTCTTTTACTCCAAAACTTCTCCACTATTTAGAGACGTAAGAGACACAATTATTTGATGTCATTTAAGTAAAAGTTGTAAAATAGTTATATTAAAATTAAACAATCACACTCATTTTGTTGTCGTTTTCCTCCTCAAAGGTCCAAAATGACAATAAAGTACAAAAAAAAAATCAACTAGTCTTTCTTTTTACTCAACAAAATACTCTAAAGTGTGAACCAAAATTAATTAGGCGATTTTTACAAATAATTTTAAAATATAATTTACATTGTTATAATAATACAAATATTAAATACAAATATTAAAATATTAAATATATATATATATATATATATATATATATATATATATATATATATATATATATATATATATATATATATATATATATATATATATATATATATATATATATATATATATATATATATATATATATATATATATATATATATATATATATATATATATATATATATATATATATATATATATATATATATATATATATATATATATATATATATATATATATATATATATATATATATATATATATATATATATATATATATATATATATATATATATATAATATATATATATATATATATATATATATATATATATATATATATATATATATATATATATATATATATATATATATATATATATATATTAGGAATACATATTTATTATGAATATATATTTAATATTATTTTAAGCATAACATTTTTAAGAATCTTTTTATAAAAACTGTTTGGGCTATATTTTAAAACATCGAGAATTTTTTATTTTTAAATTATTTTTAATTAATAATATATAATAATTATAGAAAAATAGTTGTAGAGATGAAAATGTGCAATAATGTCATAATTGATTATTTTTACATAAAATTTAACGGTAATCATTGGAAATAAAATATTTCCACACCTATGAGAGAGGGAACTAGAAAGTTGGGAAATGTGGAAAAAAAATTCATGAACATAGTTTTTTCCTAAAATTAATTTTGTATTCTCTTCTAACAAATAAGTATTTTATTTTCAATCTTAAACTTCAATAAATAAATTTTATATTCATAAAATAAACACACCATAAACTATCATTTTAGATTATGTTTTGTATTTATGAAACAAACACACCATAAACTATCAATCTTAAACTTCCATTAATATTGTCTTACATGATTTTCTTTTAAATAAATTATTATTTATGAATATCAATAATTTAACAATGATCTATTATCTTGCATAATATATTAAATAATTTCACTTTAATTATTAAAAAATTATTTATAAAATAATCAATAATTATTTTTCAAATTAAAATATAAAAAGAATGATTAAAATAACAATGAATATCCATAAACACATGTAATAGTCTTTCGCTATTCATTATGTTTAATAAATATAATATGCGTACCTTTCATAGTTGTGTGTTAGAACAATATTCGTGAATTTTAAAATATCCATGAATATTTACAAAAATTCAAGAATATACTCATGACACTCGTGTATGTGACATTGGTGTTTTCGATAGATTTTACTCGCAAGATATTCACATTTAAGAGTCTTTTTGTCATCCTTAAGAATATACTCAAAAACTATCTTTCTGGCTAACCATATTTTTCAATTGACTCTATTTTCATTTAAAAAAATGAAAAGAAAAATATTATCTTTTCAAAACAACAAAGGCTAATAAGGGTGTTAAGAAGTTATTTTCTAAACACATTCTTTTAACTTTTATCAAATGAACATACGATGGTAATTGGTGTGTTGAGAGAAGATAATTTAGGGTGTATATTTGAATTAACGAGAGACAAAATTGATTATAGCAAAATTAAATTTAGTAGAATTGATTCTAAGAGAATTGAGTTTATTCTAATTTCAAATAGAATCAATTCTGAAGACATAATCAATTCCACTTTTAAAAAAACAAATACCTCAATATCATCCAAAATTAATTTTAAATCTCTAAAATTGATTATGAATCTTTGAACTACACCTAATAACTTTTATTAAGTGAGACCAAATAAAGAGAATAATGAATATGTGCGTCTGAAAATAGTGAGAATCCATTCGAAAATGAGAATCCACTGATTATTTATTCATCAGGCCTACAAAATCTCAAATTATATAATAATAATAATAATAATAATAATAATAATAATAACAATAATAATAATAATAATAATAATAATTATTATTATTATTATTATTATTATTATTATTATTATTATTATTATTATTATTATTATTATTGTACGCAATGTGTAGAAAATCACATAATAATTATAATCAAATTTAAAATCACTTAATTCAAAGCTCACTTTTTAAAATGTTGTTTAAATGGGCTAAGAGTAGCATGAAGAAATACTCACCTTTAAATGATGAAGTGAAATAAACTTGTTGATAATTAAAACAGATGTGGCCTGACTTAATTGCCAAAGCCAAGGAAGGAGGATTAGATGTCATACAAACTTACGTATTTTGGAATCTTCATGAGCCTCAACAAGCCAAAGTAACCTCATTTCTTCTTCAACTCATTCATTAATTACTTACAAACAAAATGCATGATTATGATTTTTGACTTTCTTTTGCAGTACGAGTTTAGTGGAAGACTTGATTTAGTGGGATTCATTAAAGAAATCCAAGCACAAGGTTTATATGTCACCCTTCGAATTGGACCTTACATTGAGAGTGAATGTACTTATGGGTAAGATTACCAAAAAATTCATAAAATAAATGTTTTTCATTGCTACCTTTAAGAAGAAACTAGTATAACTCACAATTTGTTGTATTGTAGGGGTCTACCATTATGGTTACATGATATTCCAGGAATTGTATTTAGATCTGATAATGATCAATTCAAGGTACCAAAAGCTTATGTTTTCCTTCCGTCCATTCAATTTTTGGTACTTGATAGATTATTCTTTAATTGTCCTTTTGATTAATGGCAGTTTCAAATGCAAAGATTCACTACCAAAATAGTTGACATGATGAAATCAGCCAATCTTTTTGCTTCACAAGGAGGGCCTATCATACTATCTCAGGTTTAAATTTCAACACAACAGCAAACAATTGCTTATTATATACTTAAAAGCCGAACTCGTCCAAAAGTACATATCCGAATGAGAGAAAAGTACATATTTTCTCATATTCGGATGGATCATTCCAAATGTGGAATTTCAGACGGGTCGGCTCTTAAAGAAGTTGTGGAGGTCTGTGTGTGTTTTTCAAAACAACTCCCAATATAGTAGTATACTTGGAATTGTTTTTGTTGTTGGTGCTTACAAATTGCTTATAATCCATATAGATTGAAAATGAATATGGAAACATCGAAAGTGCGTTTAAAGAGAGTGGACTGACCTATATTCGTTGGGCCGCCCAAATGGCCGTGGGACTTCAAACGGGTGTGCCTTGGGTAATGTGTAAACAAGACAATGCTCCTGATCCAGTGGTTAGTCTCAACTATATTGTCAGTTTTACACCCAAAATAAAATAGTGTTCCCTCCGATCTTAAATATAAGTAAAAAAAAAAAGTGTTTGATTCAAATTTAAATCAAATACATGTACCCTTTTACTTATACTTAAGCCAAAGTAATAAATAACTGATGCGTATATGCATACAATCTGCAGATCAACGCATGCAATGGCATGCAATGTGGGACAACATTTAAGGGACCAAACTCGCCTAACAAGCCTTCACTATGGACAGAGAATTGGACTAGTTTGTAAGTTCTTGTGCATTTTTTCATTGCAATTTACAAACAACCATTTATCTTAAAGTGTAAATATCAGATAGCAAAGTATCTTACTAGACTAATTCCATTTATTTGATGGTCAAATTAATTTGAAGTTATCAAGCCTTTGGTGGAAAACCATACTTGAGATCAGCTTCAGACATTGCATATAACGTCGCCTTGTTCATTGCAAAGAAAGGAAGTTATGTCAATTACTACATGGTATCATCATCACTCTCTATAATTGCTCTTTTTCTTTCTCTTATCTGTTTTTTCAACTTAGCTCGATTTGAGTTATACTTTTCTTCATAACTAACTTGATGGATTTGATTTGATGCAGTACCATGGAGGAACCAATTTTGATCGATTGGCCTCCGCTTTCATAACAACTGCTTATTATGATGAAGCTCCACTGGACGAATACGGTATGATTTTTTCCTTCCTCCATCTGAGTAAAATTACAAATATCAAAATCATTATTATGTGATTGACTATGCTAAGGTAACCAGGTTTGGTTAGGCAACCAAAATGGGGACATCTTAAAGACCTACATGCTGCAGTCAAGTCATGTTCACAACCTCTACTTTATGGAACTCAAACCACATTAAGCTTAGGCTCGCAACAACAAGTAATTAAAACTGAATATTTCTTCCTTACTTCTTTTTAACTAATACAACTTAAATAGAAGGAAACAAAAAAAAAATACTATAATATAAAGCTTATGTTTCTAATCAATTAATCATTTTCTCACCTCTTTTCTTCAGGCTTATATTTTCAAAAGCTCCACGGAATGTGCCGCCTTCTTGGAAAATAGTGGACCTGGGGATGTCACAATCCAATTTCAAAATACTCCGTATCAATTGCCCAGAAAATCAATCAGTATTCTACCAGACTGCAAGAATGTAGTCTTCAATACTGGCAAGGTAAAACCAAATGTTTGATACAGACTTTATCTCCGTCGTTTGTTTTGAAGGAACGATGAGCTTCTATTCTTTCTTACCTGTCTTACTTCGACAATTGTCTTTTGCATCAACGAGTTACATTACAGAAATATAATATAGTTAGTGAAAAGTGTTTCACACTTTTATGTTTTTGTAGTTGAGTATACAGAACAATGCCAGAGAAATGAGAACACAATTAGAGTTCAACTCAGCTGAAAAATGGAAAGTGTATACAGAAGTCATCCCTAATTTTGACGATACTTCTTTAAGAGCAAACACGTTATTAGATCAAATCAGCACAGCAAAAGATACATCTGACTATATGTGGTACACTTTCAGGTAAAATAGCAACATATATTCTATATGCCGGCTGCACTTTCAAATTTTTTCTGTATACTTGATTCGTTACTAAGATGCTTGTTGACATGTTGATTGTGCAGGCTTAATGACAACTCTCCTAATGCTCAATCTGTTCTTAGTATATACAGCGAAGGACATGTTTTGCATTCTTTCATCAATGGAGTTTTAAAAGGCAAGCGCTAAATCCCATTTCTAAGGATCATGCTTCTTAGGATAAGAGGAAAACATCTTCGTATAGAAGAAAAACAATATCAATATATTTGCAGACTCGGTTATGACACAAGCATTACTTCTGAATATAACACATTTTTCTTTCATATTCAATACATTCTGCATCACTTGTTCACTTTATATTTCAAAGTACAATTTGAGATGTTAATATTTGGGCTTTATACATGCTTTTGAATCTAGGTTCTGCACATGGAAATCACGAAAATTTGAATGTTGCAATGGAGGAAAGTGTCAATCTGATAAACGGGATAAACAACATTTCCATTCTCAGTGCAACAGTTGGATTGCCGGTAATTGTCTCAATTGTTATCTTATTTTTCACTCATCATCAACAAGCTAAGAAAACCACAAGAAATTGCAAATTTACATATTGAACCGACCTTCATAGTATTTGCAAATATCATACAATGCTCGTCTAAGATCATGCAAAATATACCAAAAAATAAATATGGATTACATGAAATGTGTTTTTTTTTTACCTGAAGAACTCAGGAGCATTTCTGGAGCGAAGAGTTGCTGGTTTGCGTAAAGTGAATGTTCAAGGAAGAGATTTAACTAGTTACGCTTGGGGATATCAGGTGATTTATCGTTCCATAGTGAGACATTGATTTAGTAGATTTCTGTTAAATGAGATCACAACTTTTCTCTGAGAGCAAACTTCTTAATCTATCCCTATAAACTATCATTATCCACTGCTTAAAATGTATAAGAACTAGAAGTGTGTTTGAACCATCACCTCTGATGGCTAATAATTTAAACAAAAGTTTGTACACTTCGTGCTAATGTTGAATTTTCTAATGAAGGTTGGGTTATTAGGAGAAAAATTGCAAATCTTTACAGTCAATGGATTAAGTAAAGTTCAGTGGGAAGACTTTCAAAGCTCTACTAAACCACTTACATGGTATCAGGTAATTCATTACCATTATATTTTGTTTGTTCCATGGTTTTTTCTTAACAAAGCATGGATAGTTTTGGAGGAAATCCAACCCAATGTGTGTTTGTTGTGCCTCTTACTAATATTTGATTTACCTGTTGAGTGACAGACCACATTTGATGCACCTGCGGGCAATGATCCTGTTGCGCTTAACCTTGGTTCCATGGGAAAGGGACTCACTTGGGTTAATGGTCAAGGTATTGGTCGTTACTGGGTATCTTTTCACACATCAAACGGTACTCCTTCACAACAATGGTATGTTTCTGTGCTACAATTTTTCTAGAATTCCTACTTCTCAAGATAATTCATATTTTACACTTATATATAAATAACTAAACGAAGCATTTATTTACTTTCAACTGATCGCTTTTATTCAGGTACCACATACCCCGTTCCTTCCTCAAATCTACTGGGAACCTACTTGTTATACTAGAAGAAGAAACTGGGAACCCCTTAGGAATCGCTATAGATACCGTATACAACACAAATTGAGACCCTCTCCATCATTAGTAAACATTAAACAATACTGCCTGTCAGTCATATGGGGAAAAAAATGTATCATAGAATTGATATATCATTATTTGTAGCATTATATGGCTTCAAGGTTACTGAAAAAGAGTTATCATACAAGCAGAGAACCAAAAAGAATTATAAAGAAAAGATATATGTTTGCATAGTCTTGTACACCTCTAGATATTAATTTTTAGATGTTTTTTCTAAAATAAAAGTGACTAAATTAAGAGACAATATAGTTCTTTCAATCTTTTTATTGACAGCCAATGTGAAGAGGGAATTATTCTCAAGCAGGTGGTATTTGTTATCCTGCTTATAGAAATAGAAATTATGCAATTACGGACACCTTTGGAAAAAACCGTGTCATTGTACGTGTCGGACACATGCATAGGGCTGTTTTCGCTCCGGTCCGGATATAAGCCCTTCCGAGAAGTGGACCGGAACTGTAATCGGGTAATCTAGGACTGGACCGAAACAATGATGGATAATTTTTTAGGACCGAAATCAGACAAACCAAGTAGCATTTCGATCGGTCCATTGGTCCGGTTCTCGGATAATCCGCTAAACAACTTGCTTACAATGGAAAACTTATTGGATACTCGAGATAATAATATATACTAAGCACGACTGAATACTTATTGGATATATGGCCCGATTCTTATTTCGGATATCGGATAAAAAATTACTCATTCCCGAACAAGTAGCATTCGGTCGGTCCATTGGTACGATTCCACTGGACCGGTTCTCGGGTGAATCTCAGATAACTCAATCCAAATACAGTCCTACCTACACATGCACCAACACTTGTGTTTATCCGTGTGAAACACCTGCACCGACACTTGTGATTAATTTAATTTATTCATTTTTTTCAGATTATTATCAACGTCGTTGTGTCAATGTCGGAATCGTCTTCGAGATGTCGGTGTTTCATAGTTATACAATATAAATGAGATCACTCAAATACTAAATTATAATAGAGTAGTATTTAGTATTAATATTTGATCATAATCAAGGTAATGTAATTAACGAAAATGCTAACAAGTGCCCATAGGAAAATGTTTTTAAGAAGTCATAAAAGGAAACCTTTGCATAGAAAACGATGTATTTATTATTTTGACAATTATTTAACTTGTATTTTCAAGACAAAATTTACTTTTATGAACTTTTAAACAATATCCTTAAAACAGTGTAAATTTAAAGTAACCAATTTTATACATCCGTGCGATGTGACTAGAGGAAGTGCATGCCAACATTCATCAGACAAAAGAACATGAAGTAGCATGTTTAAAAGGAAAGAAGAATCTTGTCATATAAGAAACGGGAAAATAAATCTTTCTACTGATAAAGAAGATCAATTACAACAGATTAATCTGAAACAAATCAAATGCAAAGAATGTATGGTCAAAAAACAGTGATGGTGAACTATTGGCAGAAGACATGGTCGATGCAAACAATGAATTGTCGGAGGAGAAAACAATGGACACGCAGGTCAACATCAATAGCTGTGAATTGTCCATGATCTCTCACCCTTTATCTCTGTTTGCATCTTCTCTGTCACCCAAGAATCCCCATTAGTCTCAAATAAAAAAGAAGTGAAACAGATAATCATAGCAAGGGCAGAATCAAGTTAGTATTGACTATGCTAAACAATTCCATCTCTGTTATTTATTCTGACAACAATTCGTCTTCCATGTCTGCAATGACTATGTCTTCTGCAATTAGTTCATTGTCTACCTTTGATTTGACTATGTCTTCAACTCATGTTGACCATGATTGAAGGTCGTGGAAAGATCTGTAAACAATAACATATAGTAGAAGAACCTGCATATAGTAGTTTAAACTTTAAACATCCCTCTGATTCATCACTCAGCAGTGTGATATCACCACGTTCTATCTCACAAAATCTCGACTCTAGTGTGTCCCGCCTGAGTCTTCAGCATTTATATCTCCAGACGCACACCACCCGTATATCTCACTCTAATTGATGAAAGAAAAAAGTAAATATCATTCAGATAGTTGAATGCCTAATCTACAAAGTCAAGATAAATTGTTTTTCTTACCAGATTCTTCACTGTTTTCTATCTTAGCGGGCTTCGGCTGTTTGGTAGCCCTCAAATGTTCGGGTAGGATGGCCTTTTGTGAAGGCAACTCAGCAATAAATAAAACAGCTTGAGCCCAACCGGCATATTTACCATATTTTGTTACAAATGCCTCTGCAACACGATTGCAAAGCTTCAGCGTCAACTTGGAACCTGCAAGCTCAGGTAAGAGATACTTTTGGGCAATCTTACCCAAGTTTAAAAACAATAAATCCAAATTAACTCCCAACAAAAGAGTAGTCCAACCATAAAATTCTACAAGAATCAATAACCAGCAATGCATAAATGAAAAACGTTTAAAATAACTTAATTAACAAAGGAGATTCAAAATCTTCAATGAAACCCCACCCATAGAAATGACGACATGAATCAACCTTTTGCCATCATCTTTGTCTTCTTAGTTCTTATACTAGAACAACAACAACAACAACCAAGTTTTATCCCACTAAGTGAGGTCAGCTACATGGATCAACTTCTCCCAGGATCAAATATACTTCCTATGGTATTCTAGGTCATTGACGACAACAAATTTGAACATGTAGCAATTAGCTATGAAAAGAAAGTAGCTTACCCGCCACACATGAACATCAACAGGAATGGCATGGTGTTGATCAAGGGAGTAAAGAGCTATGCAAGCAGCCACTTTAGGACCCACTCCAGGTAACTTGGAAAGTTGAGATATAACATCTTGTAGTTCCAATTTCCGAAGAGAATGAAGCCATTCTTCTCCACCTTGAGGTTTTGATTGCAAAGCATTTACAGTTCCAACTATATACTTAGCCCTATGAATCACAAAAAAAAAATGACATTCAGAAACAAATAAAACCCAGTAATAGCAGTTATTATAGTTATGGAATGAACCTAACGTACCTGTAACCAAAACCAGCGTTTCTGAGTTGTTGTTCAGAAACCAATGAAAGCTGTTGAAGAGTAGGGAAGGCATGAAAATCAAAGCCTTCAACGTGACCTAAATAAGTCCCAAGAGACGAAACATAATCAACCATTTTCGTGATTCTACTAATATGATTATTGGAAGAACACATGAACTGAATCAAGCATTCAAAGGGATCTTGTCTCAAAACCCTAGCACCAACCAAATGTTGCGCTAATTCGGCGAATCTTTCATCATTAGCCGAGAAAACCTCCCACGTGTCAGCAAGAGAAACGTCTGCGTTTAAGAAATCGAGCAATGCCGTTTTGGCATCGTCGTTTGATTGAGAGTGAAGCGAGTAGCAAACGTCGCCGTTCTGGAGGTGTTTGAGGGATATGAGATTGGATCCGACGACGCCGGTGTATCGGAAAGGAGCAGTGTTTTTCCATCGGAAGGTTTGGCCGGTGGGGAAGGTGAGGGGTAGAGAGAGGTCTTGTCGGGTTAGGTTGAGAGGGATCCAGAGGCGGGATTTGGAGAGGTTGGTGGAGTGGCGGGATTGGGTTTGGGGTGTTGGAGGGGTTGAGGGTGGTGGAGGTACCGATTTGGGGGATCTTTGTCTCTTCATCGTTATTTTCACCGAATTCATGCAAGAAAGTAGCCGTTAACTGATTGCCGGGTGAGAGGAGGGTCTTATAACTCCTTCACTCCTTGTTAGGTTTCTTCACTTTTTAAGTTCTAACTATCCAACAACAAAATGGATGGCAAACATAACTATTGTTATTCAATCCATCTCATCACTTACTTACACATTTTGATGGAATTTCAAAACTACTTAAGAAATTTAGATTTTAAATTTTCGATGCGTCTAAAAATACACAACAAACTCTAAAATATGTAAAAGCAAATGTTATAAAAGAATTTGGATGTTAAAATTTGGATTCTCTTATGGTATTACTATTTAACCACAAATTCATCTTAACGCAATATGAAACGATGTTCAAAAGTTGTTATGAATTTTAAAATCAAAAATATACTTTGTTCCTGAACAACAATATCAATAACTTCTCTAAAGTTGAAGTCACAATAATATATGAATGTTATCCGTTAATAATTGTTTGGTCTTTTCTCTTCTGGGGACTGATTATTCATAATAAATGGTATTTTTAGAGTGATGGTTACATTCATGGCTGTAACACCCCAGTTTCAATTATTTGATTTATTTAATTGAAAAATTATTTTATTAGAATTAATAAAATAAAAAGGAATTATTTATTTTGAAATATGGAGGAAAATAAAAGAAATAAGAAAATGCTGAGTTTTTAAGTTATTGGGCTTGGATGTTGTTAGTAAAGAGTGGGGGTGCAAAAGAAGTAAGGATATGTTTTGGAACTCAAGTTATTTTTTCTCATTATTCACGATAACACAGAAGTTGGGATTTTGGGAAGCAGAGCTCTGAAGGTACGAAGAACGAAGAACATCGCTCAAAAAGTTCAAAGCTGCTAATTGATAAGGTAAGGGGGGCTATTACTCGATTTACCTTTGTTTATGGGTTTATGTACGGTTGATTTGGGTAATCGTAGGGAAAAACCCCAATTGTTAGATGTTAGTAGGGATCGATACCCTTAGGATTGAACTTTGTTAAAGAGGGTTTAGGTTCTCAATTTTATGAAATTAATTAACGATTTTAGGTTCCTAATGGTGGATTGGGAGTATATCTGCATGATCGTGAATTTACCTTAGAAGTTATAGGGATAACCCCAATGTTAGTAGATTTCCCCAAAATGAACGACTAATCACTTCTAAGGTTACTATAATGATTGTTGGTAATTAGGAAATTGAGGTGTTGTTTTGAATTATACAAAATCGATGTCGTTAGGTACCGAAATGCGCGTTTTGGCTGGCATTTTCCCGCGTTTGGCTGCTGTTCTGAGCTGCTACAGGTACAGGAAAATTTTGTACGCGCTCAGCAACACGGGCCGTGTTGCACAACACGGGCACCCGTGTTGCTC